ATTAGCATGAATTGTAATGCCATTTGGAAGGTTGATAAAAAAAAGGTTTTATTTTGTGCAAGGAATTGAAAGAAGATTTCATATGAGTAATATGAACCGTAGCTCCAGTGTCAATGATCCACTGTGAGGTACGGTTACCTGATGTATCTGAATTAAGTGCTGACACTTGCACCAGATTGGACGAATGGACTGATTGGCTACTGATTGGGTCATTGATCTTTGACTGTTGAAGAAGATCTAACAAGCCTTGGTACTGTTCTTTGGATAGAGTCATTTGTGAATCAGAATCTTGATTAGCTTCTTGGAATTGTTGATTTCCTTCTTCATCAACATCTGTTGTGTTCATCTTGTATGCATTTCTAGTTTTGAATCCAGGAGGAAATCCATGCTTAAGATATCATGTTTCAATTGTATAATTTGGTTTTCCACAGTGAGTACATAGCCTTCCCATATTGCCTCGACCTCTTCCAATTGGTGGATGAAAATTTCTTTCTGGATTGAAATTTCTTTCTGAATTGAAATTTCTATCTCTGTTGAAATTTCTTTCTCTATTGAAACTTACATTTATGTTATTATTCTGAAAAGCATTTGCAAAGCTCTGAACTTCAATTGGAGGTATATTGATCTGTCTTTCTTGCTGACAAATCAAAGAGAATACTCTATTCATATTAGGCAGGGGATCTGTTAGCATAATCTGAGAACGTACTTGAAGGTATTGATCACTAAGACCTCTCAAGAAACGTATGGTTTGGTCTCTTTCTCGTATATTTCTTGAATGAGTAGTAGCAGCACAATTACATGCAGGCTGACATGTATATCTCGGTATTGGCTGTAACCCATCAAATTCATCCCATAATATTTTCAACTGAGTAAAATAATCGTTAACTGACCTGTCACCTTGTTGCATTTTGAAGATATCTTCTTACAATTTTGCTATTTTGAATACGTCAGCTTGGGCAAATCTTTCACGAAGATCCCTCCAAGCTGTTGTTGCATTATCGATCAGCAAGATTGATTGTGCTATGTTTTCAGATATGGATCGATGGATCCATGACAACACCATTATATTGCACCTCTCCCATGCTGAAAAGAGAGGGTTTGTTGGCTGAGGAGCTACTACACTGCCATCAACAAAGGACAACTTATTTTTGGACAACAAGGCCATGTGCATTGCTCTCACCCATGTATAGAAATTCTTACCATTCAATGGGGGAGAAACCAATACCAAGGCTGGATTTTCACTTTGATGCAGAAAGAATACATTTCCTGGATTCGTCAGGTGGTCTGGTATCTGATTCGCCATTGAAACGCAGTGAAAGAAGAAAAGAATCATTTGTGTTTGAAAGAAAAGAAAAGAAAGAACAAGAAAGACGAAAAAAGATACCAGAGCTCTATGAGAGCTCTGATACCACCTTACAAGTATACAAAAGAAAAGAAAGAATAACCATTCTGTATTTCTCAATAATGAAAATGAAGTACATCTATCGATAATTATACTACATATCAGATATTTGTACTACAATGTAAAAGCTTAAACTAAAGTACAAATCCTACACTATTTGTTTCTCCAGTTCCAACTACCTTACATAACAGATAACTGTCACTTCAGAAACTTTACAGTGTATTAATGAGCTTCCAACTTGTTATGTACTAAGTGTCAAATTGAGCATGAAATTGATCTAAATATAACTAAAAGATATGACAATTATAATTAAAGTTTTAGTCTACTTTCAGTAGTATCCTCACATAAAATTCTTGTGTTTTGTAGGGATTTTGACACTTAGGAAGAAATTCTAGTTGGAGTGCTCCGAAAAGCAAGTGAAAGGATCAAGTGAGATAGCACCAGGGGCGCCCGACTGTGGCTTTAAGCGCTAGCATCTTCGTCTCTTAGAATTTCATGTTTGGGGCACCAAGTATAGCGCTAGAAGAGCCAGCCCACTTTTCCTTCATGGCGCCAAGAATGGCGCTTGAAGCACCAAGTTCTTTCTTTCATGGTGCCACTAGCACCAAAGTTCTTTCCCTTATGGCGCCAAGTCCTTTGCATTGCCATGCCACTAGCACCAACTCTCGCGCTTAAAGCGCTAAGAACCAGGTCTTCAAGTTTCCTCCCGAGTCACTAGCATGGTGATAACGCCGCAAACGCCAGCCTTCAAAGTTGTGAATTTTTGAATTTTAAACGAGGGTCTGATTAGAGATTTTACGAAAACTTTTACGATGAGGTGATCGAAGATTTGTTGTGATTTAAATGGAAACTTCCCTTCATTATAAAATGGCAACCTTAGCAAACATGATTCTTTGACGATTGGAGAATAAAAGAGACCAGAGAATTCAAAGTTTTAGAGATCAAGGATGAAGCTGGAGGGAGATCGAAGCATCATAGTGGAGATCAACCAACACCCAATTCATGACTCTTTCTAGATTTCTTTTCTTTTCTTATCTTGTTTAAGTCAGCTATGTCTGACTAATTTCTTTTGTAGTTAGAGATACAGATCTGACGCGAATCCTTATTTTGGTTTAACTTTCTTTTAATAAAATCTGTCTCAAATTGTTATGTTTTAATTTTGATTTGCTTGCTCAAATTCTTGTATAATCTTATCAACCATATAGGAAAATAGAGGGTTAGGGTTATAAATAGACATATTGGGATCTTAATCTAGACAGGGATAAACACAAAGGGATAAAGCCCATAATTGGCCCAAAACATATAGGCCCAATAAAATGTGTAATGTCTCCGTCGCGCATAAAGACCTGAAGGCGCAATGGCCTCATTACACCTAACTGCCTTATATGACTTAAGAACTAAGGAAGGATCCTATAACAAACTAAGATCCACCGCGCTGTAAGCCAACACACGAAAGACAGCTCCAGCTTGTCACTACTCTAAGAAGGCAGCCCATCATATAGGAGTGTAGCCAGAAAGGCACCAGGAGAGACAGATAAGTCTACAGCCCAGAAACAGCCAACCAAAACGCATATCGCCTACCAAAGGCGGCATGAGGCTTGCTATATAAATAAAGGGTACAGACCCAGGTATGATAATATAATTCCAACAAGAATATAACATAAGCCTAGCATTGATACTGACTTCAGAGTCGGAGTGTCATTGCAGGTACCCCCCCCCCCCCAAGCCAGAGCCATCGCGCCAAGGGAGCTCAACATCAATTCACCGCATAACAGACATCGTCAGCCCACAAAGCACTACACCTAACCCAAAGTCTTCACTCTTCAACCGTGTGTGATTTGGCCCAGTCCATATTGGCCAGCCCATATTGTACTGGACCGATCTATAGTAGAAACAAGAAATCAAGAAAACTTCCCCAAACTCTGGTAGTGTGATGGCATTGTGAATCTTTAAGGTTTTCAGAGTAATCTTGCTTCTGACTCGTCTCCGTCTCTCAAGAGCATGAAGAATTCTCTTCTCCGATGAAAACTATGCCTACGTTGCCAAGTGATATCAAGAACCGCTTAAGACTCATGAAGAATAGCTTAAATAGGCGTAAGTATTCTTATTTTAGGTGAAAATCATATAATGGGCATTAATTGGGTCACAACCGAGCATTAAAACACACTGGAGCGCGTTAAAACACGCTCTGGCATAAAGAACTTCACTTATCAAGGCGTTAAATTGTGCTACAGAGCATTAAGATGCGCTATTTTGACAACATAAATATGATTTCGTATTTTGGGCGTAACTTGAGATATATTCGTCTGATTGGTGTGATTTTGGTCTCGTTGAAAAGATAAAAGAAAGGTATACAACTTCTATGAAGAACACAAAATCCAAATCCATCATCTTTGATACGAAAAAATGGCCGAAAGACAGTTTCATGGAGATTTTCATTCAATTATTGCTCCTCATTTATCGCTTTAAGTCCATCTAACTTAACCATTGCTCCAATGCTCAAATTCAACTCAACTACTTACAAAACAAGCAAGAATCATTCACATTAGTCAATAATTTAAAGTTAATATTTTTTAGTTAAATAACTCTAAGTTTTCTGAATACGAGAGTGATTTTAGTCCTTTAAAACATAATAAACTATGAGTTTATTAGGAGAACTCATGCGCTGATAAAAAATTTCCCTTCAAGGCACCAGCAAACTGCATGTTTTGGGCATTGAGTTGCGGTGAGGATTTTTCGAAGGAGTGAGGTTAAGCATGATTCAGCCATCGAAAGGTGTTCGACGATTGCTTTGTAAAGGGTGACAACTACTTGTGGAGTGTTTTGCCATAATTGAAGTGATCAGGAGTTTATTAAAGGCCTTTATAACATTAGAAGGTTAGGTAAATTGGGAAAATCGCCTTCCTTTTTTCCTTTTTTTTGGGTTGCACCACGTGGATTGTAATGGGAGGTTTGTTACTTCTCCTTAAGTCCTCCATGTAAAACCCACTGCAAAGAGCATAATAAGGGTATTTTTGTCATTCACAGGGTTAACTGATACAGGTAATAACCATAAAGTATCTAAATGATAAGCTAAGTTTAAAATCACAAAAGATTAAATGATGTTCAGTGGTGTAAAACAAAAGATGTCCAGCAAAAGGCACGGGTATTTTTATCTACGGAACGAACGAAGGAACGGACGAAAAAAGGGAGTGATCACGGACAAGGAAAGCACATCTCCAGCAGTCCAATGGTAGAATCAAGGATGTGTGTCTACACTTGGGATTATGTGGATGCTCCGATCGAATGTAAGCTGGGAATGTTCAATGTGTAAGCCTATGTGTTCTTAATGTTACAAATAGGGTCATCATCCGGGAACTCATCCCACAACAAATGATACATATTAAAATCCAAGAGGAAAAATTCTAGTTTGTTACTTGAAAGTCTTGTGGAAGTTAGATGGACATTGTATACAATTTAACTCGAGAAATGTATTACAAATAATTTAACATCGATGTTTCCAATTCCCCAGCCACCTATGTTACCATAGTGGCTCATATTTATCAACTTTATTTCAGTTGAGTAGAAATAAAACTGCAAAGTAAATTACAACAAGACTTTAAGCATAAAGCTCAATAAGAGACCTAAAGCCAAATGCGGGGAATATCTTGTAATGTTTGAAGCCTGCCTTCGCAAAAAGTCTCTTCCAATCATTTTCATCTCTCTCTTTCCCATTGAGACTGGTCATCATAGCTATGTCAAGTAAGAGTTTTACTTCTGTCATTTCACTATCATCTTTCTTTTCATTTATCACTATATCTATGATGATCACTTTTCCTCCTTTTCCTTTGCCAGAAATGGCTTCTTTACAATTTTTGAGTATCTTGATGCAATCATCATCGCTCCAGTTGTGTAAAACCCACTGCAAAAATAACAATAAATGGAGGGTCAGAAGCAGAAGCACTGTCAATAACATATGCTAATGATTTAATGCATGAAAAAATAAACTTATGTATGAACTTCATTGCTTGACTAAAATACTAGACGTATGTGAAGAGAAAGCAAGTCATGATAATTCCTATAGTTTTTGGCATAATTACCTTGAGTAAAATTGCATCAGCTTGAGGGATAGATTTAAACATGTTGCCGCCAACAAAACTCAAATTGTTGCTTCCTGTTAAGCCTGTAACAACCTGTGGAAGATCAAGCACTATGTATTTTAAATTAGGAAATGCCTCACATATAATCTTAGCCGTGTTTCCGGTTCCACCACCAACATCAACTAAGGAATCGAGGCCCTCAAAAACTGATTTGCAATCTCTCAAAGCCAACCTTACAACGTGAGAATCACTTTCCATAGCCTCATTGAAGGTTTTCAAATGAGTGGGATTCTGATGAATAAAATCCCAATAGCCTCCAGGTCCTAATGCGGTCTCGACGATTGTGAGATCCTCCCCAGAAGTCCATTTCCCTAGGTGATGATATGAGCCAACAAGAGTAGGGCTATTTAACAAATGAACCATTGAAGACAAACAGTGATCAGTGCCGTTGACAAGGAGTTGTGAAGATGGAGTAAGAGCATATGCTTCTCTGGTGTCATCGATTTTGATGATTGCAAAGAAGTCATTGTGTGCCAATAAGCGCATGAGACGCTCAACACAAGTAGCTTTAGAAAGTGGAACATGAAGAGCAGAAACAAGGTCGGGAAGAGTAATGGGTTGACCATGATTGTGGATGATATCAGGAATGCCAAGGTCAATGGCCCACTTGATGCACATGGGATTAAGGAAGCTATACATCATTCTGTACAAATGAGCTTGAGCTTGGAATAGCTCACTTGCTTTGTAATCATTTGTGGAAGCCATGAGAATGAGAATGCAGAGTGATCCAATAATAGTGTGTTTGTGTTCCAAACTTGTCACTTGCTCTGTTGCTCTGGAATGAACTTGCTCTGCTTCTGCTTTATATACTAATTGATCGGGAACTGCCACGCCTTAACTTGCTGAATCAATTAATATAATATCAATGCATTATATTGTTCTGACCTATCTGATTAATTATTCGTATTATTTAATGAACACGTTTCATACACATGGCGAAGTACAAATTTATTTATTGTTTATTCGAGACATAACTAAATCGTGATTTTAGGTGCTCGTCGCGTAAATTATCAGGTCTAGCTGTTCTTCTTTGAAGTTTATGTGTGAACTATTTATTTAACTATTATTCTCTTTATGTGCTTGTGTTTACAAATGCTCTCAAATCTGGTCAAAGTTCCATTCTATATCTAGTTACAAAGCTTATCAAAATATTATTTCTCTTTTTTGTTCAGGGAATAAGATGATCTTGTTGATATATTGTCTATTTCGATCAGACGCTGCTGAAATTTCTTTTTATGATGTGAAAAATCATTTTTCACCTTCCTTCTAACTTCAAGTTCAACAAAAGCTGCCCATTCGATATAAAACACAATCAATGCATTTACACAGAAGAATACATTGATTGCGTGGAGGTAAATTCTTATGATATTTACTTCAGTCCCAAGAGTTCTACGCACCATTAAAGTAGTTGGGTCTCTAGCAAGAATTGAAATCTTCGGTTCCCTAATTAGTGTGGAGATTATGGGTAGGTATAGAAAACTGGGTTTGAGAATTGAGAGGTATGATTACTGCCAAAAGATAATTGATTAGTATTATTTAATTATCACCTTATTTTATAATGTGAAAACAATTTTTCACATTTTAATTAGGGAGCATATTTTCTCGGAGACAAATTGTCTCCTATTGTAGATACACAAGCATTATGGGCCTCACTGTATAGAAAAAAAATGGATTCACATTTTTTTTTTTATATATATAACAGCCACGCACAATTTTAAATCAACAGGGAGAGTCTGATTATCTCAAGTGGCAGGAGACTTATAATTTTGTTTTATTAACTAATACTATTTGATTAGTATTGCTCAATGAATTAATTAATTAATACTACTTTAGTAGTATTATTTAATTGTCACCTTACTTATACATAGCAAACTTTGCCCTTTACTACTTCTCTGGAATATTTAATAATGAAAAACACCGCGCCGTTGTCTCCTTATTCGAGAAATAAGCATATCGACTCGATCATACTGGCGTAAGTCAATAGGTCAAGTTGTTATTCATTGAATGTACGTGTGTGAACCACGGACACGGGACACGACACGACACGCCGACACGTAAATTTTAAAAAATGTCATATTTAGACACGTTGAGACACGTTTTGATATTAAATAAAATATTTAATATATATAATATAACTTATATTTAATACATATAAGAGTCCATAATAAGTCATATAACCAATCAAATATTTAAATTTCATAACATAAATATAAATATAAATAAATTTTCGTACTTTGTTAATTTTTCATGTCAAATTTCATAACAAAAAAAAATTAATTTATAAATTATTTCTTTTATATTTAGTTAACAAAATAAAAAAAAAATTTAAAAAAAAACATGTTTGAGCGTGTCCAAGCGTTGACTGCGTGTCCAAAAAAATTGATCGTGTGTCCGAAAAACGTGTCGGAGAGTTGACCACGTGTCCTCAAATGTTGACCGCGTGTTAAACGCGTGTCCGAACGTGTCGAAGCGTATCCGTATCAGACACGTGTCCGACACGTAAATTTTTTCTCAAGGAGCGTGTCCATGCTTTGTAGGTGTGAACTATATACATGCGTGTTGCGAGTCAACTATATAATTCGATCAGAAGTTGCGGAAATTTTTTTTTACAATGTGAAAATCATTTTCAGTTTCGTTCTAACTTCGAGTTCAAAAAAGGATGCTCATAGATCGATATAAAATACAATCAATGAATTTAAACAGAATAAATTTTTTATTTTAACTCTAAGAAATTTGAACCTTGTTATATCTCTCCGTTGTTTTTAATTCTCATTTACTAAGATTAAAAGTCTGCGAAGAAGTTAAATTTCTATGATATTTACTTAAGTCCCAGGAGTTCTACTTAGTATGTGTTCGAATTAAAATAAGGGTGTTGTTTTTATCCTGTTATAGGAAAAAACAACATTCATCCTGATGATACATCGATTGTCGTGGTTTTTTATTTTGTTTTTTTTATTTCTTTTAACTAATGGGACCCACAAGTTCTTGTTAGTGCAGGAATGGATTCAATTTTGCCTATGACATAACATGTATAATTCCCTTAAAATAATCGCATACACAATCGTAAAGCAGGAAAATATATACTGAAAGAAAAATAGAGAAATATTTTATCTTGGTTCATTCCTATGATGCATCGACACCGACACGACACGATACACCAACACGTTAATTCGAAAAAATGTCATTTTTTAACACGTTAAGACACGTTTTGATATTAAATAATATTTTTAATATATATAATATAATTCATATTTAATACATAAAACAGTTCACAATAAGTTATATAACCAATCAAATCTTCAAATTCCATAACATAAATATAAAGCAAAAGTAATTTTTCATACCTTGTTAATTTTTTATGTCAAATTCCATAATAGAAAAAAGTTGACTTATAAATTAATTTCTTTTTTAATTAATAAAAAAATTTAGACCTTCAAAAAAAACGTGTCGGAGCGTTGACCACGTGTCGAAAAAACGTGTCGGAGCGTTGACCGCGTGTCCCAAGATGTTGACCACATGTCGGACGCATGTCGAAACGTGTCGGTGTCCGACACGTAAATTGTTTTTTGAAATCGCGTGTTGGTGTATTCTAGGTTCATTCTACGTGGGTTGTTTTCAATAATGTTTTATTATATTATTTTTACCTCACTCGCTAAATGCACTTTATTTATATTGGAAACATAAATAGGCTTAGAAACGTTAAACAACAATAGTTATTCATGGGTCCAATTTCAAATTACTAAAAATAAACAAAAGAAAAAATAAATTTGTTGCTTTTCTCTGTATTTGGCCAACAAAAATCATCATTTGAATATGAAGTATGAGCCATACTCAAATGGTGGTTTTGGATAGGTAAAGTAAGTATGAGAGATTTGATTCCTTGAAAATATATATATATATATATATATATATATATATATATATAAAGTAGAAAGATTATATGGTGATTTTGAGATCTCACTTGGAACATTTTAGACGACCAACTAGACATATATATTGCTACAACCTTTAAGAGAAATCTTTGGTTAGGCACTGGATATCACATTATTTATTACACACTTTATTTTATAGTTGGTATATAAATAAAATGCATTATTTAAAATTTGTGTGTCTTTATTTTATAGTTGGTATATAAATAAAATGCATTATTTAAAATTTGTGTGTTCCTATTATGAACTGTTGCAAACTCGGCAAGTATACTGGTTGTACAAGTAATAAAGTGAATGAGTAAGAATATCATTTTCACGAGGATTAGAATTCAAGCACTAATTCGCTATTACAATTAAGTTGGACAATTTGATCATAAGAATTGAATAAAAACTAAATTGAAAGCAAAGCAACAAAGCAATAATAGAGATTCTTAACAATTAAGAAAGCACAAGTAGGGATTCGATTTTCCCTAATCTCTCATTTATGTTCTGAATTAAAATCCTTAATTAAACGTCCTTTTTATATCACCAATCGATTCCCCTAAGTTAATTAAGACCCAATTCCTTGATATCCTAATTCTTTACTCTATCTAAAGAATCCTAGTTCCCCGATTGTTCTTCAAAGAAAATAAGCAGTATATTCAAGAATCATAAAGATTGCATAATTCTTACTTCTATCCCTAGAGTCATACGAACTAATGATGAATTTACCATGTCCGATTCATGTACCAACATCAATCAATCTATAAGATTAAGAACTCATAAGGGATGAAGAAAAAATAAATTCATTCGATATAAAAAGGAAAGATTAAATTAAAGATTATCCAAAATATAAAGACTTGATAAGTTTCCATCTAAACCTGACTATAAAGAAAACTAGCCTAACATAGTAGAAACAATAACGCAAGAAAAGGTAAAGGCTTCTCCAAACTCCATTGATGTGATGGAGCATTAAATCTTCATGGTTTTATCGTAATCTTTCCTCTAACTCGTCTCTGACTCTCGAAAGTATGAAAATTTCACTTCTTCGATATCCCATGTGCCTCTAATGTCAAGAACTACCAAGAACTAAGTAATTCCTCTAAAGAATAGCTTAAATAAGTGGAGGAATTCTTGTTTAGGTGAAAGTAACGTAATGAGCCTTAACTGGGTCATAAATGAGAGCTATAACGCGCAAATAGGCGCGGTAGCACGTAAAATGTGGCATTTGTTATGTAAATTTTTCACATACTAGCACGTTAAAACGTGCTCTTTTGACAACAAGCATTTTATTTCGTATTTTGGGCATAACTTGAACTATACTTGTCCAATTGAAGTAATTTTTGTCTCGTTAGAAAGATAAAAAAGATATATACAACTTTTTTAAAGAACACAAGATCCAAATCCATCATCTTTTTTACAAAGAATTGGCTAAAAAATAGCTTCAAGGAGATTTTCACTAAATTGTTACTCTTCATTTATCGCTTTTCATTTATCGCTTTAAGCCCACTTAACCATTGCTCCAATTTAACTCAATTGTCCTACAAAACAAGTAAGAATCATTCACATACTCTATAATTCAAGGTTATATTTTTTAACTAAATAACTCGAAGTTTTCATACTTTTGATTAAATATAAGAGTGATTTTAGTCTTTTAAAACATGATAAACATGGATCCCACAACTTAAGACATACTTAATATTGAATAGAATTTCTATAATATATACTATCAAAATTAGAATTATGAAGCCTCAAAATGAAGGGAAAATAACTAATATGTTAAATACATGAAAATCA